AACAAAACGCCTCGATTTGACGCCTTTTGCAACGCGGTTCACTTCAACTGATCCCATTCATTTAACGTCTTCCAGACTTATCATTGCCTGATACCGGCTGTCGCGCAGTTTTAGATCCCCCTCCGTCTCCGCGTACGGGGCACCGCGCCGCACCGCGTCATGACCCCGGCCATGTCTGACAGGTGACAGGTGCGCTCCGGGCCGTGTGACCTGACCTCGGGTCAGTTCTGCTCGTGCGCCCTGCTGGCACGGGACGCGACCGGCACGGTCACGCTGGACGGGTGCCGAGCCGGCCGGCGGCCCCAACTGCGGGTCTTCCCACGGGGCCCGGCGGCGCCGCCGCCCTCCCTCTGCAGACCCCCTCCCACGCCGCCTGGCTGGTGAGAGCGGAGCGCGTGTCCGGGACAGATCCCGGCGCTCTTGTTTTTCGGCACCTGTGTCCTGAAACACGAGCATTGTCTAACAATGTTTTAGTTTTGCAGTCACACTTGGCTGGGTGTGAAAGCCCCATGGCATAGCGGACACGCAAGTTCTTGATTTTTTTCAGGACCTTTATGATGATGTTCTTCTAGTGCAGATGCGGCGCACGTGCTGATGCAAGATGCTAGCGCACGCCACGCGCCTGTCTTGAAAGGCTTCGGCGGAGGAAAGAATATGCGTTTGCGTGAATAGTTGGTCCCTGCGCAAAGAAAGTGTCAGCTTGAGAAGCTGCTTATAATGCTGAGGTCGAGGCCTGCGGCACAACTATACATGTTACACAACTAAAATCACGCTGTGACCCCGCACCCAAAGATGGCTACGGAACTCAAACCACAGTAAAACTGGCGTCTGTCTTTGATAGAATCTAATTTTGTCCATCTTCTTTTTTCATTTAAGACGGCGCAGGCCATTTCGCGTCGACTAATCTGAATTCACCCAGAGATAGAAATAAAAATAGAAATAGAAACAGAAAATGGGCGAAACGGCAAAGAATACCATAGAAGCGTCAAACAAATACCGTCTCGTCAATGGCCATATGGTGCTCGACGTCAAGAAAATAGGACCAGTGACTCCTTCGTGCTTGGAAACCTCAGCACGAATTGTCGCATCAGCGGACATCAGTTGGCTTTCAATCAGCTTTACGTGTTAATGGAGTGCTTCACATTTGTATGGGGGTTTGGATTGAGATAGTTATTTTTACAAATTATTCAGGGCAGCTCACGATCCTGCCCTTTTGAAGACTAAAAATTCTCTGGTTTCTCAGCTTAGCACCCGCGAGCTCCTGCAGACTTTGTCGCGCAGACTATTTCAAGGCCACACAGGCACGCACGACGCAAAAGAAACCTCGCGGATACTGCTGGCCTTTTGGCCACATAATGCTCAAAGCTGACAGAGGCTGTCGAGTTATTCGTGTCTGATGTATGCCAGTACGATTTCTGGCGTCAAACGATTCAGGTTTTCCTCAACTTATGTACTACGTCCAATGTAACTTTTGAACACGAATCACATTTTGTACTACACAATGCAGGAATTTGGGCAGTGACACGAGCTATGACAGCAAAAAGACCGATAATCGAATTTAAGACTAACACCATAACCGAGCACATGAATGCAAGAAGACAATATAAGACCAACACCAAATACCCAAGGACGAGACAAAGAACGACCAATTCACGCGCACATAACGGTGTTTGAGCCCTACAAAAAGCGCACCGATTAGAACAACGTCTCTCTATAACTTGAAGTACTGTGACGTCATAGATAGGCTTATGACCCAATCACGCGATGACATATTGAGGAGCATATTTAGTAAATAGTGACATTTTGTTGTTTGGAGCAGTCTTTTGCCCTTAAAATCATGTCAATAACTACAAGTGAGCTTATTTCATCACAAGGAATGTTTGTCTCAAAATCGTCTAATGCGGAACACTCCCTTTGAGCAAAGTTAAAGCGAGAATCACCGGTCAGTTTTATGCTCGCTTATGAGACCTTGATGTCCGACTGTCATCATCAAATCAGTTCATTAAAGGTTTTTCTAGGTATTCTGGTCGTTCGGATCATCTACCCCAACTCTTTTTGGTGCATTCAGTTCAGCTCAATTTGATAAGCCCGCTCATTCTCCACTCGATTCTGATCCGGATTCCGCCCCAGTCCAGTCCAGTCCAGCCCAGCCCAGCCCAGCCCAGCCCAGCCCAGCCCAGTCCAGCCCAGCCCAGCCCAGTCCAGTCCAGTCCAGTCCAGTCCAGTCCAGTCCAGTCCAGTCCAGTCCAGTCCCAGTCAGTCCAGTCCAGTCCACTCTAGGCAGATATGAATTGAAAATCCCTGTGTGATCCACCGTCCAGGACAAGCAGTTCGAGGCACTTGTCTCTTCCGTTGCGGGGTGAGCTTCGGCTGCCCACCACTGAGTGTATCTGCTGTCGCAGGTGTCGCTAGCGTCGGGCGTCGTTCTGCATGTACACGCCTTTGCTGGCGCTCGGCCGGTGTCCCGGGCAGTGCTCTCGGTGTCTGTCACGCCTCCAGTCAACGCTACGGCCGGACGAGGCCTGTGTGGGACCAATGCCGCCAAATCCAACAGCACCGCAGCCGCCACCTGGAGGTTTGGAGCAGCTCTCTAACCTCTCTAGGTTTCTCTCGTTCCATCTCTTTCCCTCCGTCTGTGTTATGTACTTTGGTATTTAACTTGCTTTGTAACTGTTTTTCCCTTCCGGGCTGCTTCCATTTTCGCTTGTTTTACCTCTCTTCGTTTCTTCCGAATATGACATACAGCGCAAAGCTTTGTCACAGGAGAGTTGCAAACAAATGTTACCGAGCCATTACTTCTTCTCACTTGCTTACAAGCGTGTCGCCTCATTGCTACTTCTAACAGCCATCCTTGAATATTTCACCCCGCCTCTCATGGGCTACACGATACTAAACCTATGAACAAGTAATCCTGCTATGTGGTCATTAACACCCGCCTCGTTATCATCCCCTGCGCTTCCCAGGCGGCTCTGTCAACCTTGACCTAACCTGACCTGCGGTGCGTCTCAGACCGCTGGCGGCGGCCGCGGGCCAAGCCTGCTGGGGGGTGCGCAACCAGCGCCGGGCAGCACCCACCTCCGGCGCACCCCGCTGGCGGCGAACGACAGACGCTCCGTGTCACGGCTATCGGCGGCGTTGGGAGCTGGCTTCGGCGGGCGGCCCCAGCGCGCTGACCGATCGCCCGCCGGACCGCCGCAAGCCGGCGTCTCCGCCACCTCTGCCGAGCCTCGCCGGCGGGGCGGAAGGGCCTCCCCTGCCAACCCTACAGCACTCCCAGGACTCGCCGGCGCCGCGCGGGGGTCAGCGTCGCGAACACGGCTCCGACCTCGGGCCGACGCTGGCGCTGGCGTCGTCAGCCCAGCCACCGGCACCGTCAGCCCAGCCATTGGCGCCGGCCGCCGGCCCGTGCCGGGCTGCTGTGGGGATGTTCCACCGGTGTCGGCCTGTGGGTCTCTCCTGCCCCGCCACCTGCTCGAGGCTCTCATCGACATCTGTCGACAGGGTGAGGGCGCAGCGACACACTGGGGCCGCGTGACGCGAACAGCGCGATGTCGAGACACGTGTGAAGGCGCCAAGCCACGTGTAGAAACGATATTTCCAGTGCGTAGGCCTGTGATAGAATCTGCCAGAACATGCTGTGAAGTCACCTCTAACATCTGAATGAACTTTACCCGTCCCCTGTAGTTGCAACAATTGTGACCTTGGCTGAACTTAGTAAGCAAAACAGCTATTAATGTTTCATACCTCACACTAGTGTACTCTTCGCACCCAGACACAAAAATAAGTTCATTACTAAGCATGAACTTCTCTTAACTCTTAAACACTCAGCATTACTAAACATGGGCTGTCGGTAAAGTGGTGATTTGTTTGCGCGCCTGGGGAACCAGATATACGCGTTCCAATCGTCTTGAGGCCCCAGTGACACACACACGCACACACACACACACACACACACACACACACACACACACACACACACACACACACACACACACACACACACACACACCACACACACACACGCACGCACGCACGCACGCACGCACGCACGCACGCACGCACGCACGCACGCACGCACGCACACGCACACGCACACGCACACGCACACGCACAACGCATGCTCCTTACGTAACAGACTATAGAATACACGACTGCCTACCCTGACGCCCGAAATACCCTAATGCACTCTGCTACCAACACACACACACACACACACACACACACACACAGCACACCACACACACACACACACACCACACACACACACACACACACACACACAACACACACACACACACACACCACACACACCACACACACACACACACACACACACACACACACACACACACACACCACACACACACACACACACACACACGCACACGCACACGCACACGCACACGCACACGCACCGCACACGCACGCACACGCACACGCACGCGCACGCACACGCACACGCACACGCACACGCACAAACGCACACACACACACACACCACACACACACACACAACACACACACACACACACACACACAACACACCACACACACAACACACACACGTACACACACACACACACACACACACACACACACACACACACACACACACACACACACACACACACCACACACCACACACACACACACACACACACATGCACATGCTCCTTACGTAACAGACTATAGAATACACGACTGCCCACCCTGACGCCCGAAATACCCTAATGCACTCTGCTACCAAGTCACGGGGCTGTAAAATTGAGTCACGCAGCCTGGCCAGGGGCCGCGTGCTGCCCACCTGCCGGGACCTCAGCCCATCTGACGTACAGTGTTTCACGCGGACGTGACCTGCCGTCGCAGATAGAAAGACGCTTGGCACCACGGCCCCGATCAAGTCGCTGCTCTCGCCGCTGGAAGACCGCTGCCGCCAGGCAGCACTGATGCGGTCACCCAGTCAGCAGGCTGCGCTGCCGGCAGCGCTCCACTGGCCAGAGCGGGGTGAGGACCCCTGTCGGTGTGATGTCGGCCAGGGGAACATCTGTAGCGACCGAATACAGGGTGAGATAAGGAAATCAAGTTACCTGAGAGTTCACCAGAGCAGAAGTGTCACCAGAGCAAAGGACTGCCAGAGCAGATTGGTTGCCAGGAGCCAGTCCACGCGGGGCGAGAGGAATTACCGTGTGGGATGTCAAACGAGATGAAAGCGTCATCAAAGTCAGGGGCAGCGCCATGGATTTTTAGCTGGGGGACAGAGTTTTGCAGGGGCCTCCTGGACAAAATGGGGCCTCCGCACAGGGGCCCCATGGATTGTTACATGTCACATGTATCCATTGTTACAAGATTCAATATCCATGTCAAGAAATGGATTGAACCCTTCAAGAGTCAGGCCGGACTAGTGTAGAGGGTTAAGATGAAGATAAACACCAAACATGCCAAAAGGAATGTGCCATGCATCGATGACAATTAAGTGACGGTTTTCAGGACAGGATTAATGAAACCCACCTATCCGGGGAATTTGACGCCGTTTCCTGTGTTGCAGGCGGGCCCCCCACTGTGACGGGTGAAGCTGAGACGCGTCTCTGTGACCTGTCCAGGTCACCGTGCAGCCACCTTTCCGTTGCGGGTCAGAACTTCGTGCCCTCCGTCAAGCTGAGGTGTAAGGTCGTACAACCAGAAAGCCATAGGACTTTCGTCGTCACAGCCACCTATCGGTCACAGAAGGAAATACAATGTCGGCTGCCTGCCGAAATATTCCGACGCCTGAGGCACACAGATGACGTCACGCGGTGGCAAGTTCGGGTGAGGATTTAGTCCATGGTTGAGTTATGCTTTTTACCTTTCCCTCAGCTGTTTGCATTTAAGAGGGCAGTCGCAGGGTCAGATGCAATACGTATAATTACGACATGGGAATCACCCGTCTGGATGTGGAAATATTAGTGTCTGCTCTCACTGCCAGGTATCATACGACTGAGCCAGGTGGAGTCTACCCGAGTCTGTTCTCGCCACCAGGTATCATACGACGGAGACAGGTGGAGTCTTCCCGTGATATTCATTACGTACAACGGTGACTGCCGCCGCTGCCATCTGGTGGCGAACGCTCTGGCATGTAGCAGGGTGCAAAGTAGCTGCGTTATAGAAGGTAATCTGTGGTCTTAATCTGCCGAGCGAGGATGGTACACAGTTTAATTGGCTGAGTCGTCATCGCAATTGAACTGAATCGGAGTAACTTACGGAAACTTTGTGTTCCACTCTGCCTGCTGGGCCTGTATGAGAAACTTCCTGTTTGTCTCCACATTTTGTAAAGAGCCAGACAACTGGTTCGACGTTGACAAATATTTTTATGCAACGTTGTAGGTTCCGGTTTGGGTTTTAGTAATATCACCTGGGTAAAATGGTTCCAGCAGCATTACTAATGTGCCTTGTTTCAACATACATTGCTTAACGATTCAAGGTCATATGTGAACGTCGGTAGAATGCAAAAAAAATAAGTGATGAGCACTAAGTTAAAAACGAAATTGTAAAAGGCTATGATAAAACACGAAGACAGAGGATATGGAAAGCAACGTATCGGTATAGCATCTCGTAGTACGTCAAAGTGCAACTAAATCTGGAAGAAAATGTGAATATTATATGGCTGTGAACGTATCGGTTAAATGCGTATTCGATGCGTAAAATATAGGATGGGCTTCTTAACAGACACACAGCTGAAGTCACTTACAGCAGTTGACTCACAGCAGTTAACGTCCAATACCCGATAGCTCCCAGATTTTACAAGAGTTGGACTGTTCAGGGATTGGAACGATTTATTAAAGACATTTCCGAACTAAACTGTTAGTCTGGGACGCACTTATCAACAACATTTCCATCTTTCAATACCTCACTAGACTTGAAGGCAATGAAAAATTGCTAGGTCTCCAACTGCCAGGGTATCCCTAAAATGCTGAGTATAGAATGCTGATAGAGTTCCATCAAAGAGCTTTTTAAGCATTTCGATATTTCCCGTCTTACAGGAAAACGGTAAGACGGCATGACTGGAAGATCCAGGAGGGGCGGAGGCCTCTAACTTTTAGAATAATAGCATTACGCCTACAAAAATATCGCCAATGTGAAGGGTCAATGTTGACTAGGCGTTTACTGAAAATAAGCAAAAAAGGGTCACGCCCCCCCCCCCCATTCTGGCAGAGCAACCAATACCCCTGCTGTATCTGTCTACTTTGGGCTCATGTCATCTCACGTTTTCTAGCTTGCAGTTTCCCATCCGATAGTGCCCTTCCTATTGAAATCAACTGAAGATGTGTCTACGTCCTCATCTTAGAAACACCCACCGTCAAAAGCAAGGCTGTATGAGAGGTCAGAAATGAGATTTTGGCGCAGTCATTATCCACGAAGCTATAGCCTCGGAGCAAATGTGAACAGGCCATCAAGGGGTACGCCCAACTGACAAAGCTGCAGCAATGGCAACCGATTTCTTTTTGATATCATGATAACGTATTTCTTATCAACGAACTCGGGAACTGGGACCTTTTCACATTATTGGAATTATATATATACAAGTCATTTCTAAAATGATTATCCGAATAACACCAATTCGTCAAGGCCATCCGGTGTGGTTTGTGTTGTTGGTTCGGCTCGGTTCTACCCAGTGTACCCTATTATATTGGGTAAAACAAGGCAGAATAGATCAACTTTAAGAAGCTGGGTCAACAACTGAGGTTATTTTGTACATCGTAGTCTGTCCATGTACAAATGTACATGCACTGTACATTTGTACATGCATGGTCTGTTCTTGTTCCTAAGATGGCTTGATGGAAGTTTGCAGTCACCTGTGTTGGAGCTGGTGAGGAAATTATAGGATCAGAAAGGATCTTAAGTCATCGTTAAGGAACAGGACCTCTTGACAGATTAGTTGTGCAGCACAATAAACGACAAAATCAGCCCATCTGAGGTTGTTGTGGGGCAGCAGCAATTTTCCATATCTGCAGACATTCGACTGACCGGCTTTGGAGCAACTTTTGTGCTGCAGGTGCCAGAAATAAATCTTATAACAATAGAAACAAAATTACACGCAGGTAGGCAATGAGCAAATGCACATGAGCACACTTCTCAAGGCCTATACGGTAGTTGTACCGAGCCTGGCAAGATTTCCTTGGGACAGAGTAGCGGTAAACCTTACAACTTGGTATACCGTTCTGAAATGACTGACGTGCTTTCATTTATGAACGGTTTCTTACCCTTCATTTTTTTAAGCGAAAGAAACACCTGGGGGGGGGGGATAGTTTCATATGGGATCATACATTAATCATGCATCTATGATGTGCAAAGCATATTAACTTAACATATATGTAACCTTAATCAAGCGTTTTGTGTCGCGCACCAAGAGAGCTCACTGAATTAGCCTTTTGCATGTGAGAACATAGCTTCAATTGATTTGAAGGAGGCCGACATTTCTCATCACAACAGCTAGCATATGAAAAGCGCTATTCGGTTTGCTTGGCAGATCTGTGTTACAAGGCGTGGGACGCGAACCCTCTAGATCCGTGCCAATACTGCGCTGGCGGAACGACCTGGTCCCGGCGAACTGGTAAGATAGGGTCAAACCAGAACCGTCGTCAAAGCCAAACATGAGCCACAAACCTGACCTCAAGGCTATAGACGGCTCTTCCAAACTGTGCACCTCCGAATGTGGCCGTATTTGCGAACTAGTCCCTCCAAGTCGCCAGACACCATGGTCAGCTTTCTTAATCAATAACTTTCAATAGGCAGATATCAATGTACTTTTAGAAAGTACCTAAATAGAGGCGTCTGTGTTTGCTAAGCGACCATGAACACAATTTGGTTACAACCCCGTAGTTTGTGGAGGACAGCTTGGGGCCATTGGGCTATTCAGCTGGTCAAATAAGGTCACCCACCCCAATCATCTCTTAAAAGCGTGGAGCCCTGGTCCGTAATCCCTACCACCTATCCTCTCTAGCTCGGTCATCCCCGCACGGCACCACGCCGCATTCCACATCGCTCCGCCTTGCAGGCAGCAGCTGCGGACGGGCGAGCAGCTCAGTGTGCACCGCCGACGGCGCGTCGTGTCGCCACGGACTATGCGTGGCGGATGCCGGTGGCGCCATCTGTGCCTGCCACCCCGGCTACATCGGCACCCTCTGCGAGGTAGGACTGCGTTCCGTTAGAGGGAGTGCTCCACATTCGTATGGGGTTTTAAAATGGCATAGCCTTGTTGAAGATTATTCGGTGCGGCTCACAGCCCTACTCTTTTTAAAACCTGAACTCCTGTAGTTTCTGAGCTATACACCCACTAAGGTGCACATAATTTTTCGTGCAAACTATTTCAAGGTCACCCAAGCATCCACGATGCTATATTAACGCCATTCAAATTCCGTCCTTCCTTTGGCCATGCGACAATCAAGTCCAAAGGAATATGTTATCGTCAAGTCATTTATACCTGGCGTTCGTAAGCACGATTTCCAAATATAACAGCCGTCAACTGGCTCTCAATCAATGCTGTGCAAAGAACGATGACGCCTTGACGCTTTGATCAAAAAATGACGTATGACGAACGCATTTACTAACTAAAGAAATTTGCTGTCTACAGCATTTTTTTTTCACTTAAAAGGATTCTAATATTTATAAGTGGGGTTGTTTCATCATGGCTGATGAAATAAGGCCGGCGATAACACTTTTTGACTGTGTGAGCAAGATTCGTGACCGAAAGTTCATCGAAAGTGCAGCCTACTCAACGAATATGGCGTATATAATTACTGCAAGGGATCATCTTAATTCCCTTTTGATACTTGCCTTGCCTTACATTGCACAAGCGCTGTACGATCACAGCTGATGCTTGCTTCAATACTTTCAAATGTGGAACATTCTCTTAAAGGGAATCTATCTTTCCCGAATGCATGTGTTCATATATTAGCTGTTGGTGATTGATGTTGCGGCAAGCATGGCTATCGCACCTTTCCTTTCTCTTACAACATTACAATGTCAAGCATCAAGCTTAGGTCCGTGTCACATATGCGCGTACATTGCGGATTTGGCGCGGCTTAAGACAAGGGATTTTCGGATTCAAGAATCCTCAGCAAGCCGTCTGGCGAAATAAATTTGATGATAGAAAAGGATATTGTTTGCTGGCTAGCAATTTATGCGTTCATTAATGTTGTTTTCAAGCATAATAACTGCGTAAATGGCACTTTAATTACCACCAGGGCTATTTAGAACCAAATCCATGCGTTGTCTTTGCCTCTGGCAGTCTCGCAAGCAGCAGTCTATCCAGACAGCATGTTTCCTTTTATAACCGAGTAGACAACCAGGTGCTCAAGGGACCGAGTGAAGCTGGCTGCCAGTGCAAAGAGTCGACTAGCAAATACTTTCGCTCTTTTACGCGCTTTCGTTGCCGAGTTTGAAGACTGCCTGTGTCGGTCGTCACCAGCAGCAGGTTGCATGTGATGCGGAAGAATTTACTGGAATTATACAGGAATTATAAATCACTTTAAATCACAGGATGCGTGGACCTGACCCTCAACGGCGAGGAGCATAGCTGATTCCGGCCGTGTTAAAGTCACCTCCTTCAAGACATATTATCACACATGTGCATGACCATCACATTCTTTGATACCGACACAGTTTTTGATATGCTCGATTGTAAAAAGGGCTTGATTATGGCACTACTTGTTATTTTGATGTTTTTATCGTGCTTGTACGTTACTACTACATCGATAAGCGCTGTTTTGTAAATTGGTTACGTTGATATGTGTTCAACTGCATTCATTTTATGCAAAATATCCCTTGTCATGGATGCTTACTGAGCATTCTTGGTTTCTCTGGCCAGTTCCGTGAGTGGTCCGTGGACTCAGCTTCTGACTACACCATAGATGAACCTCCAGACATTGAGGAGCTGAGAAGCATGGGGGATGAGCTGGTGTACAGCGTGAACGCCGCGACACCTGTCGACCGAAAACGAAACTAGAAGCTGTCCGGAAAACACTGATCTACATTTGAACGTGCTGACACAGAAGCCAGCTATCTGGGCTCGGA